AAAAAAAAGCAAAAATCAACCTTCAGAGGGCATCAATTAGTTGCTAAGCAGCAATTAACAAAGAGGCTCTCAAGTCATAGTCGTACGCATTACAGCAAAATAAAATGTCACCGTTATGATTGTAGATTTTAGTCATTTGGAGAATTGGCGTTAGACGATTAGGAAGTAGAAACATACCTAATTGGAGCTTCCACCGTGGCTCCAAGTTCGTCGTGCCGGCGGCGGTTGCGTCTCCTTATCAGAGATACTCACGCCGGAGGATTATTGTGTTATTTTCTTCTGCACTTTTTTCTGAGCTCCCGTCACCGTGTTCTTATGTTTTTTTCTTTTTTTTTCCCGTTTTTATCGTTTTTCTTATAGTCAGCCACGTATCCGGAGCTATGCCCCGAGTAATTCATTGGTTGACCGACACACAAAGCACTCTCAACAAGACTCAACAAAAGGTTTTATGCAACTCAAACTCGAGACTTTGCTGGAACAACATCAAGCTGCTTACCACTTGAGTCAACCATGTTGGTATCTATTTTAACAGAATTGGGTTGCGCCCCAGTGACTTGGGCCTTTCATATGATCCTAGGCCATAATTTGGGCCTATGATTAATTAGCCCTCATTAGACATTCTCCACCGAGCTACAAAACCATTATGAATTTAAAAATATGATTTTTTTTTTAAATTTCTCTTTAGTTTTAAACTGTAACATACTAAATAATTAATAATCTTATAGATTAGCAAAATGTGTATAAAAAATACTGAATTTTTTCATTTATTTTTAATTTCATGAAAATCATATAATATGGTATTTATTATGTGATATTAATTTAGATTTGTTCACAATAATAGTGCAAATATACATATTAATATTATATTTTTCACAACAATAATGTAAAATACTAAAAAAAATTCTTCATTGTAATTTTCTCGAAGACAAATATGCATACATATACACTCATGATTACCAATGAAACTAATACAATGCTCGTGTACTACACAAGTGTTGAGTTAGGAAATATATGATAAAAATTATTGCTAAATAAATTTCAAAATGTTGATAAACCAATTGATGAAAAAAAAAGAGGACCGTGCAGAGAGCGATTTGTAAACTATGATTTATGAGAGAATATGGAAAAAAATTATATGGTAAGATTGCTACTTGACCAAACTAAGAAGAAAATATGTACTAAGAGCAAAAAATAACAAAATTAAATGCACACTTACAAAATTTGCAAAAAGTTATTCATGTTTAATACCAAGCGTAATATTATAGCAAAGATGAATATACAAACAACATTACAAAGTATAGAATTTCGTCATGTCAGCATTCGAAGCGTGTGATTATGTCACTTAAGTTCAACACATTTTGAACTAATATATGGGGAGGGATGCTGTATGTAAAAACTGGTATACTTTTATAACATAGATAGAATCAAGATATTTCACAATATAAGAGGTATAACTTTTTGTCTAAAAAACATATATATAATAAGTAAATTACACATAAATTTTACTATTTGGACGTCAACGTACATTAGAACAATATTTTTGTATAAATTCAAAACGTGTTGAGCTTAAGTGACAGACTTACACGCTTCGGATGCTGACATAGCGAATATATTTTTCGTAATGTTGTTTGTATATTTATTTTTGCTCTGAAATTAAGCTTGATATTAAACATAAATAACTTTTTTCAAAATGGGTAAGTGTAGATCTAATTTTGTTATTTTTTTTGTTCTCTCAGTACACATTTTCTTCTTAGTTTGAGCAAGTAGCAATCTTATCATCTTATAATTTTTTTTTCATATTTCTCTCTTAAATTAAAATTTACAAATCACTTTTTACACGGTCTATTTCTCTCTTTTTTATCCATCGATTAGTCTATCAAAATTTTTAAATAAAATTTTTATTTAGCAATAACTTTTATCATATATTTCTTAACTCAACATCCGTGTAGTACACATGGTATTTTACTAATCTAATTGATTTTAAAGACATAATCAATCCCTTAAAATTAAATTCATAATTGTTACGATAAGAATAGTTTTTACTTTTTTAATTTTTTTAACTAATTAATTAATTAATTACAACCGAGTAAATTTGTAAAAATACTTATTATTCATTACAATTTATTCAATGCATGTAGCAATTAAAATTATAAATAAAACAATTTATAATTATAATGTTATTTATATTTATAAAATGTGATACTCATTTTCTAATCTAAAATTTTAAATATAATAATTATGCATATAAAATATGTCTTATAGTATTATTAATTTTATATGTGCAATATCGACTAAATGTTGGCCCCTCATAAAAATTCAGATCCCGCCCAACACTATCTTCCATTTCTCCCCCAATTTCCATAGGCCGTATAGTCTCCATTCTCAGGCTCCGGCCACTTTATAGGAAACCTCCGATGACGACGGAGACCAGAAATCACTGAAAATTTCTTATGAACCTCTTTCATTCCCACAGCGTTTGAGCTCGAAGAAAACGTCCAATCATGCAGCAGCCGCAGCCGGAAGCCTCTAGAAAACAGTTGCCCTACACTTCCATGACGCCGCCGTCGGGAGGAGGCGGAGCTGGCTATGGATATCATCGATTTACCGCCGGAGAGCTCCAACGCCGTGATCTCGATCGGGAATTCGAGGAATTCATTGTCGTCAAGTCGCCGCCAGTAAGCTTTTTTTGTTATTGTTTTTTTTTTTTTTTCACTCACTCACTTTGCATAGAATGTTTCTGGCTTGTTTTCAGTTTTTCTTGTGGGGCGATTATTGCCGGTCCTGTATTCTGTAGGGTTCGAGATAATATATGATACTTATTGAAATTAATTAAATATGGCTATTAGAATTGTTGAATGATGATTAGAGGGATGGATTGTATATGCTCCTGAGGCTGTGTATTTGTTTGGCTGCCTTTAGCCTGAAGATTACGTTTCTCTTGTTCTGTGTATGCATAAATTTCAGTGAGTTTGATTTTCAATCAGAATCTAATGAGCATGGGAAGACTTATTTGTGATGATGCATTGCATGAGTTATGATTCAACTGCTTATGTTTTTTTTTTTTTTTTTTTTTTTTTTTTTTGGGGTTTTTTTTTTTTTTTTTTTTTTTTTTTTTTTTGGGCGTTTTCGTTATTTGGGTTCTGCATTTTACCACTGATGGATCTCTTCAAGCTTTAGAACTGTATGTTGATCATTAGCGACAATGCGTAAAGCTTGATATGTCGAGGATTAAATTGGTATTCTTTGTATGTTAAAATTTTATCATGCACACTTTTGTAATATAGGTGTGTTATATAAATGTCATCGTTTAGTTGTCTTGGGGGTGAAATTCTCTTTATCTTTATAACTTGTGTCGCCTGTGAGTTTGGTTAATCAGTATAATTACCCTATAAGTGTGTTAGCTTCTGTCATCCATTTTTTTTTTTCAATCAAATATACTTGATTTGAGATAAATTATTTGTTACATGTAACTAATACTTTTTATTTGTCTGCAAAAGCCATCCAAGAGGAAGAGTGGCATGCTCGAGCATGAAACTGGACCTGCCAATCAGAACGTGTGTCCCTTGCGGACACCTGTGTCTGGAAAGGCAAAAGCCCAATCTAGAACAAGTAAGGCAAACAGGGCCGGCTCTCAAACTTCCTTAGCAAATATTGGTGAGGATCGGTGTCATTAGATTTTATGTTCGATCCTTATTCGTATTTATAGTATCCCACTCTCTCTCTCTCTCTCTCTCTCTCTCTCTCTCTCTCTCTCTCTCTCTCTCTCCCCTGATGAACACCCATTTATTTTGCAGGTTCCCCTGCTGGCAACAATCTCACTCCAAATGGTACCTGTCGCTATGATAACTCTTTAAGTAAGCAATATACTCAGGAGATTTTGTATTTATTTCTACTTCTCATTTGTTTTCGCTTGAAGCATCTTTTTGCTATGGAATGTGGATAATCCATTGTGTTAGAATTCTTAATTTTTATTTGGTCAATAAGAGGACAAGCTCATTGAACTGTGTCTTTTGTCCTCAGGTCTCCTAACAAAGAAATTCATTAATCTGATAAAACATGCAGAAGATGGTATCCTTGATTTGAATAATGCCGCAGACACATTAGAGGTGATTGCACCTGTCATTTGGTGCTTCACTTTTGAACAGGTGTTAATGGCTGAAAGATTTCGTCTTAGTTAATTATTTTATTTTCCTCAACAGGTCCAGAAGAGGCGTATATATGATATAACTAATGTACTTGAAGGCATTGGTCTTATAGAAAAGAAACTCAAAAACAGAATCCAGTGGAAGTAAGGGCGTCGCTTATCTGATAGTATAAATTTTTTTCGGATATCGTCACTATCTTTTCCTTGGAATAAATAAAAAATACCAGTTATCAATGGTTAAAGTTGTCAATTAGGGGTGCGGATGTCTTCAGACCTGCTGAAGCCCAAGGCTGCCTTTCTGATTTACGGGAGGAAATAAAGAACCTGAACATGGAGGAGCAGAGATTAGATGAGCGCATTAGGTCTAAAAAATTCCATGTCAACTAGATTTTTCTCTTAATATTTGTTTGTTGGGTATGGCAATCTTCTGATTCACCTTTTATTTATTTATTTGATTATTACCAGAGAAATACAAGAAAAGCTTACAGGCCTTAGTGAAGACGAAAATAATCAAAGGTGACACCAGGCTTCTACTTTCTACCTTTTCACTGAAATAATACTTAGATTTTAGTTTAGTCACTCCCGATTTGTATTTTTGGTTTATCTGCCAGGTGGCTTTTTGTTACTGAAGAAGATATCAAGAATTTACCTTGCTTCAAGGTGCAGATATGTTTTCAATCAACCCACTGCGTATTCATCTCTGGATTAACCTAAATTTATAATTATGCTGCTTTCTCCAGAACGAAACTCTGATAGCAATTAAAGCTCCACATGGCACTACTTTAGAAGTTCCTGATCCGGACGAGGTTAACTTTTCTTCAACCACTAATATTATTTAGACCATACTATATTTTTTTTTTGTTTTCTTTTGGTTGGAGGTACAGTAATTTCGCCATAAATTCTGGCTAATATTCGTACTGCAGACTGTAGATTATCCACGGAGGAGATACAGAATAGTACTTCGAAGCACCATGGGACCCATAGATGTTTATCTCGTCAGGTATCTAAACGTTCACTCCACAATATTGAAATATGACTCCTATATCTTCTTTATATTGATTTTGTACAATTCAGTCAATTTGAGGAAAAATTTGAGGACATGAAAGCGGTTGAGGCACAATCAGTCGTTCTCCAAACATCTAGCGTGAATGAGGAAGCTCTCGCACATGCACCGACTGGTGAGATCAATGGACACGAAATTGATTGGCAGCGGTTGAAAGCTCAAAAAACGCCACTGGATATCAGTACATCACAAGATTCCGTTGGTGGGATGGTGAGGATTGTACCTGATGGTGATGTAAGTCGATCACTTGAATCATTTAGAAATATCACTATTTTTAGTAACATCATGGATGCTGAAATTACAATCACACATTTTTGCCTTATTACATGATTTAGTCAATACGCTTCTAAAGTTAGAAATTTCCCTTTTGATCTATGCTTCACTTTCCCAAATTGCATCCTACTGAGGAGCTAATTCATAAAACCAATCCAAACCTCAATGGGCTATTCCTACTATTTGTGGGTGGTTTCTTTACTTCATTTTAGAAAATAATATAGCTGAATGAATTGCATTTAAACTACACCTTAGCTAAAAGTATCTAATTATCTCCAACGCTAATGAAAACATTATATTTTCTCAGAGGTCCATTATATTACTATCTTAAGCATTTCAAGTGTTTTCCACAGTGTTTATCCAATCGATAAAGCTATGTTTGGTAACCAAATTTGGTTGGCTTATAAGCTTCCCGTATTCAAATAAGTTTCATTTGGTAAGACGAACTTTTTTAAAAAACTCGAGTTTATCTCATAAGCCTCTTTGGGTAGCTTTTCAAATAAGCTCGTTGAAATTTTTATTTCAGCTAGCTTATGAGTTAATTTTAGCAAACACTTTTATCATATAAGCTAGCTTTTCAGCTATAAGTCATAAGCTATAAGCTCGAAAATCATTTATAAGCTATAAGCTTTACCAAACATAGCTGAAATGTCTTATTTTGTTTTGATATATCTTGTAGACGGACGCTGATTATTGGCTACTGTCGGATGCGGAAGTGAGCATAACCGACATGTGGAAAACACAATGTAACCTAAACTAACCTTTCTCCATTCATATTCATCGATTTATTATAAGATGCTTTTCTTGGAAAACTAAATTTCATGGCTAAATACTACAAAGCTGGATTCGACTGGGACACTTTGAACACGATACCCGAAGAAAATACCACCGCTAACCTAAGTCCAACACGGGTTCAAACTGCACCGGGAGTTGACTGTAGAACAAGAGAATTTATCGAGTGCAAGACTACAGAGACAATGCAAGGTGAATTAGTGAGGAAAATGTCGTGAAACCCGATTGAAGAAATGCTAGAATTCGGGTTTTGCCAAACAGAAAAACACAAGATGAGATTTAAGCTGTTGCTTTCGTTTCATTTGGTAAAGGCTCGTGTATTTAGTATTTTCCCCTATGAGTTAATTATGTATTTTCCTAAAGATTATCAGAATTTATCACGTGCAAGACTACAGAGACAATGCAAGGTGAATTAGTGAGGAAAATGTCGTGAAACCCGATCGAAGAAATGCTAGAATTTGGGTTTCGCCGAACCGAACAACACAAGATGGGGAAAGATTAGGCTGTTTCTTGCATTTCATTTGGCAAAGGCTCGTGTATTTAGTGTTTTCCCCTGAGTTAATTTTGTATTTTCCATAAAATAATCTGAATTTAACTGATGAGTTGTAAATGGGGGTTTTAGCTCCCTCAGTTATAAGAAGGGAGCAAATGGGGAATTTATTACAGATGTGAAAAATAAATTTTTGAGGAAATTTTCAAGTGGACTGTTCTCTCAGAATATTATGAAAAAATTGTTCGATTTTTTTTCTGAGGGTGTGTGTGTGTGTGAATAATTTTTAATTTTATTTTTATTTCCTCTGTTAGGTATTAATGATTTACTAATTACTATCATGAACATATACTTCATCCAATCCTTGCTGGTATTGCTGATTATTGTATCTCCAGCAAAAGCAATGTAACTACAATGTGCACAATACAGATCTTAACCAACATTAGCATCAATAATTACTGCTTTTTACAATGAAAAATGTGACCTTACATGATGAACAACTGAATGTATATATAAAATATCTTAGTTCTCACGACTTTTTATCATTTTCCCGATCGACTTTCTTCCCGATCCAACTTGCAACGACAGGTGTAAGGGCTACAGTAGGTGGAAACCTAATTGGCGAAGCCGCCTTATGAGCAGCATAAGCCAATGCAAAAGTCCCCACTTTTTCACCCGTCTCGTTAGTTGAGATCCCAACCTACAACGTAATCGAAAGAAAAAAAAAGTTCAAAAACACAAACAAATAATTGTCACTTGGCATTTAGCTACAAACAATGCATGACGAAGAGGGAGGAGAAAACAGTACCTTCTGCAGCAATGCCTGTACATCCACACCGGCACTTATTAGAAAATAGCATAGCCCAAATGATATCAAAGAAAGGGTTATGGAGGTGGCTAAATACGCGCCTCCGTATTTTGCTAGGAGTTCTTTTGCTTGGTCCCCTTTCGACTTGGTAGTAGTCTCCTTGTTTTCTTCGTTCGTTTGTTTCGATGTAAATATCTGCATTCGAGCAGAATTCGCGAGTTGAAATCTGAAAATACTGACGCTAGAATGTAACTAAACAATCCGATCCTACGCCCTACAAAATTTGTCCAATCCTATCAAGATTCACGAGACCAAAGGGGACTGCAGCCAGGACTCGGATATCAAAGGGTTCTAATTTCCAAGTACATCAAATTTGGATCTTCAAAACACTGAAAAAAACTATCTCTTGAGAAAAGATTCCTCTCAGTTGCAGAAACTTGATTACCGAGCCGCGTTATTAAATTCAAGATTCCAACTTATTTTCCATAACCTAAGGCGCTTTCCAAAATCATCTTTTGAGATTCAAAACCCATTTTCAAGAACTTGATAAAAGTACAAAATGGAAGCTTTATGAAACACAAACCAAAACAAGTAAATTCAGCCAGCCAGATACACCCCCACTAAGCAAAAAATCAAGAAACCATGCTAAATACAAAATGAAATAACAATAAACTTATACCAAACACATTTTGAAGAACTTTACAACTAAAACCGAAGCAATTTGGATTGTTCAACCAACACCCATTGAATCTTCTTCCTAATTTCATCTTTTTTTTAAGATTTATAACACATTTTCAAGAACCCCATCAAAATAAAAATGGAACCTTTATCAAACACAATCCAAAATCAGCAAATTCAGCCAG